CGTAGCTGCCAAATCGAGGACACACTCCTGAACTGCTGTCAAACTTATTGTCGAGAAGGGAATTATACTTACACTTTAGAAATGGAATCTGGTCTTGGTAAGTATCAATGCACCGGCCAGATATTTAGATTTTTAACTTGTTTTGCGGAGAAAATTTATTTTTGTCTCTTTCGCTCTTCACTTAAACTTGGCTTTCAATCTCTCTCCATGATTATTAACAAAAAAATCTGCATTTATGAGTGACAAGCTTGGTTGATTACCAAGGAAAAAATTCAGGAAAGCAGATGTTTTAAGCGCGAGGATTTTGGATTGCATGTTTCTTTTAAGGGCGAGTTGGGTGTAGTCGGTTGCTGTGGTAACATATACCCCAAGAAAAGAACTAGGAACTCATTTTCAATGAAACTGCTGGATTTTGTGTTTATTTGATGAAAATGTTTCTAAAAAGTTACCCGAAACATTCGGACAATTAATATCAAATTCCAAGACAGTTCATGTTAACTTTAAACTTTCTCTTTTTCTTTGTTTTGAAAGGCGTTCCAGGATGGTGGCTGTAAGGTTGGCTGCCATCTTGGATGGCTTTACGCCTTCTGTAGTCCTATAGCTATCGATGTACGGCTCCTTTTGTACGGTTCTTTTGACTCTATTTCTACGTTTTTATTTCCTTATTTTTTTACTGAAATTTCATAGATGCTAAAGTGAGGAAAGTACCCAAAGGAGTTTCAACTGATGTTGAAATCAGCTTTTATATGAATAACAACGGCAGTGAGAGCAACTTGGCCCAGGTTATTATTACCTACAAAGTGTTTAAAGACGCAGGTAGGTATATGAAGTCCGTTCTGAATGCTTATATTCATGATCGGTTAGAGTTAAATAAATTACAAAGTCGTGGTTTGATTTCAGTATGAAAACTATTATTGATATGTTAAATTTTTCCCCATTCCTTCAGGAAGGGTTATTGCAGTTCTATTGTGCCGCAAAGCACGAAATGAAACCAGTCTTAGGAATTATAACGGCAGTAGGTAAGAATTAATAAGTATTTCTTAAGAGAGTCGTTTCTAAGTGGAAGGCGAAAGCAAATTAGTTATTTACTGCTTTAATTGTTTGTTCAGTTCAATAGCGAGTCAAGGGAGAGCGTAAATGGGAGGAGCCAGNTATATACTATTTGATGCAGAAAATTGAAAAAAATTGTGTAGATTGTGGAATATTCTAAGAGATTCTATAATCTCTCTTGCATTTTCTTATCCTTTATCTTCAAATTCTAAATGGATATTTTAAAGTTATCTGATGTATATTAAATAAATGTGTTTAAAACACATCTCAATTTAAACTGCACAACCATAAAACTAAGCATGAGAGGGGCAACGAAACATACTAGTAATTAACAATTGGTTCATTCTTTAGCGTGCACTACCTCGGAGTTATGGAGCACATGGGAAGTTTGGAGAGCACGAAAGAAACGTAAGAGTTGCCCGAGGCAATAGCCCAGGACAACTCTAGCTTCTTGAGTGCTCCACAAACTTCCCACGTGTTCCATAACTCAAAAGTGCACAGCTAAAAGCATGAACCAATTGTTTTAACATAAAAAAAAAAAAAACAGGAAAAGATACATATGTAAAAAATTAAAGGTAACAGTGTTCCAGACTCCGTGCATGGAGGCTAAGAAAACCGCGAGGTTATCGAGTTAGCCTCCATCTCTTTTGGATTCACATAGAAGAAACTGGGAGTAGAGGGACGGATTACAGAATTAAAAGCTAGAGGAATTGTGGAAGACTCACGTTTGAGAATGCAGAAACTCACGAACAGCAATGGTTACGACTTTGTACTTGTACTGAGGCCATGTGTCATTTTTTGGGATCTTGTAGTCGTTAGAATCTCTGTCTAATCGTCTTAGTAGTAGTTCCCTTATATTGTTTTATAATACAATTTCACTCGTAAGGTCAGTTTACTGAGGTGAAATAATCCAGGCCGTCTTCTCATGAATAGCACATAGGAAGTAAGGATACGTGTGTGATGGACGCCTAAGGGTGGTATTTTATTTGCTTGACATATTTTTGAAGTCTCAGTTAAATGGCAAAAAAATTTCGAACCCCTAAATCACATAACCTAAAAAATATTAACGCAACTTTTTTGTGGCGTTAATGCTGTATGCGAATTATCGAGAAGATGAAACACATGGCACGTGCTGCCAGAGCTAATATGAAAAAGAAAAATTTAGGCTTTCATCAGGATCCACCAAAACTGCTTGTTTAGGAATAATAGTTCAAAAGAGCACCTGTAACTTATTTTTTTGTGTGTGTCAGTTTCCTTTTATAGCTTGTCTTGATGGAAGTCATCACCATATAGGCATTGTTGCGTTAATTTAAGTGAAAATCAAGAGCCACGAGTAATGGCCTCTTGAGTTCGATCAATCAATCATTTTGACGTTGAATTGTTAGAATAAAATTTCATTTTTGGGGAAAGAAACGAAAAAATATGGTAATATGTGGATTTTACTTTTGCAATAGAAATAAAACCTTGTTGACTTATTAAGGGATCAAACTGAAATCGCTGGACCTATTCCATGCACAAAAAGCTGAAAAGTCTTAACTTCCTAAATTTTGAGGCGAAAAAGCATTCGCTGAACGGGGTGGCTGATTTCCATCTCGTTAGCACCTTTTTGAGGAAAAATAATTGCGCAAATTAAAGTATTGTATTGATTGGGCTTGAATTTAACTATATGTTAATTTAAAGGTTAACGAATACCAGATCGACAATTAATTTTAACTTTAGAGTCATTGGTAACCACGCTACTATCTCCTGACAATAAACAGTAAATAGGAGATAATTAAGAAGGAAATAGTTAGAATCAAGTTACATGATGGATGCTTAATGAGAGCAACAAACTCGTAAGTTTTAGATCTTCTGTTCTAGACATGAAAAATAACATTGTTACCTACTTACCAGAAGTATATGCAAACCCAAAAAAGTAAGACAAAAAATTGAAAAAAATTAATAAATAAGGCTTATCAGGTAAGTAGTACATAATAAAGACCAGTTAACACACAACCTCAAGTTTTCCTAGACTAGTTCCTTCGCTTTTTACTTAAGAATTGTATTTTTGCAAAATCGACGGAAGGGTTTATTTCTTTCTTAATTTCTCCGTCACTCGGGACACAATAATGACTCCAGGCATTTATCATTTTGTACTTTTTAGTATATGGTCTGTTTAATTGGGAATTGTCTGGGCCCTACATTTAAAAGCCACACAGGATACCCAAATCGAAGCAGAAAACAGTTCCTGTTTCCTTATATTTTTGTCACTTTTTAATAAAAAATAATTATCTTCACACGAGGCTTATTCAAACAGTTTTTACCATACACACCTATTTGTTATTCATATCCGACTCTAACTAACCCTTTAACAATATTCTTTGTTAGTACCGTACAGAACGGATGTAACAACCCCAGTCGAGGTACCCAGGTATCTGTGCTAAAGAGACTCAATTTGTTTCATTCTAGAGGTTAACATCTACCTGTCCAACAGTGCAAGCCGGTCCCACCAACTTCACCCAACTGTTAGCGACAGCATCTGAAAATGAGATCTTCGTAAGAGGACTTAGAAGGAACGGAATATGTAAGCCTCTAAACTAAGTAGTAATTTTGGTTTCGAATGACAATGAAATCAATTCAACTAGAAAAGCTAGTTGAAGGCACTTGCATTCAGAGAAAAGTGTCGCAAACGTGAAAAGCTGTACTCACGATTTATTCGCTTGATTCAATTTTGCTAGTACACCGTTCAGTTAACTCCCACTCACAACTCTCACGAAAAAACACACACCACGTCTCGTTGTAAGCACGTGGGACAGCGCCATATATGGGGCGATAAAACACGTGCTGCATACATGCTGATTGGTTACGTAATAGACAAACGAAATCACTCATGATGTCACCAATTTTAAGACTAATAAATGTAACGCAGTTTCCAACTAACGCAAACGAAATCCAGATGAAAAAATTGAGTTATTATCGGCCTAGTGCCTCTTCTGCCGGTTGTGTTAAATTAATCCCGGGTTCTGTGTCGTATGAAGCGACAGAGATTTAGTCAATTGCAGGTTATATCTGCAAGGCTAACAATACCATCTGTCTTAAGAGTCCATAAAAAACGAATGTTTTCCAGTTTTTTCTCCTTTTAATGTCAATTTATTTTCGAATCAAGAGAAGTCGACTTTATTATTAATGAATAAGAAAGAAAAAGGGATCCACAATCTGTGAAGAAAACGCATAAAGTCGATAAGTCTCAAGATGGAAAATATGCGTTGAGTCATTTTAAAAAACAAACACAGCTAAAACCAGCCAGTGGTAAATCTTCCAACTGCTGTTGATTTTCGTTCTCAGCCACGAGAAATACCACCAATTGACATCGGTTTTCCTTTTCGTATTTCTTTTCTTCCCTTCTTGAGGAATTTTAAACGTCACTGTCTGCAAGCCATGATCCGAGAAAATTTCGACAAACGACCTTCAATTGAGAATTGTTGGAGTTTGTTAGAGCTTAAATCTAGTAGGGGACTTATGTCCTATTGTTTTTGCTCCGGTACTGCTTGAACCAATCCTTAAATAAATAAATAAATAAATAAATAAGTAATAAATAAATAGTGAAGGAACGTTTTGCCATTAAATCGGTATCAACCTACAGAGTGGCGAGAAAGGCGAGTGAAATGTCAGCAGCTGATTGGCGATAACAAACACATTCGTACCGTTACGGCTTTTCTCAGGGCTGGAAATCCATGTAAAACACCGTAGTTTACATCATTAATATTTCTTCCTNTTGTAGAAAAATACTTCTACATTGGTACTATTAAACTTAAAAAATTAAAGTGCCATATTTCTTCAATAACAGGTTTCATAGGATCCCATCAAAATTAAAGACGATTATGAATAACCATCAGAAGATGGTTTATATATTTACCTTGGCCGGTTTATGATTGGTGTCTACTTTGGGGCTCTGAGTAAAATTTTAATCAGAAATATCGTAATTTTCTGACAAGTTTTCCCTATAATCGTGTAAAAGCCGAAAACACGACAAAAAAATGCAAAACTAAGTTATAACATTGAGTCTTGCTAATTCAGTTTGAGATCCTCTCTTGTTGGTGTGGAATTACGGAGAAGTGAAGCAAAATAGGCAGATGTACCTGTCAACTTCTATGATCATTGTTCCCAAGTTTAATTTACCAACAGGAATTTTCTACACGTCATTGATGCAGACCCAGGCCCTTGCCATCTATACAGGCAGACGAGGGGGAACTTTGTGAAGAACTTCAGACCTTCACGCAAGAACTTGGCGATGATAAACATTGCAAAAAAAGAGCAACTTGTAATAGGAACATTGATCAAAGCATTCGTACCGATTGTCGCAATGACACCATCGCACTTTGGGAAGAGTGTTACTGCGATGAACTTTGTGAAGAAATTGGAGATTGTTGCGTTGATTATGACATATGTTAAGATAATATATACACCCCGATTTTAAATACATTGACATTACTTATTAAATGTACATACTTTTTCTTTTCTATGGGGTGTTTCGAATTACAATTTATCTGGAATTTTATTTTCTTAGGCAAAAAAAGATTCAATAATGGCAATTGTAACGACAACAACAAAAAGGCTTTTTTCAGAAAAAAATGATTTTCAATCGATAAAGATAGATAGATAGATAGATAGATAGAGAGATATGTAGATTGATAGATAGATAGATAGATAGATAGATAGATAGATAGATAGATAGATAGATAGGTAGGTAGGTAGGTAGGTAGGTAGATTGGTAGATAGGTGGATGGATGGAACCCTTGATATAAATGCGGCATTTTATCAAATTGAAATATACAGCAATATTAAAATTTGGTTTACATAAAATTCGTACGCAATACAAGTTATATATTTACTATCAAGAAGCTAAAGTTCCAGAACTAGTTTTGCTGGTGCTGATAGCACTAGTCTAGCTTACCCGTAAAAATTTTTAGCGAAGTTTCGTCCTTTAAATGTTTGGCAAATCATTCCAGATTCTTGCTTCGGTAAATGCAAAACTGTTTCTGTAAAAGTCTGTGCGACTTTTAGGGAGCGCAAAATTCATTCTGGAAGGTCGCAGTCCATAATCATGAAAAGAGGCGCTATGGGTAAACATTTCAGACAGGTACGGGGGAGTGAGACCACTCAGTATTTTAAACATCAAAATGGGTTTTTGACCTTTTCTCATTGTTTCTAACGTCATTCAGCCTTATTCATAGAGAATATTCCTAGATCTCTGCAAATAAAAGCACCAGTTATTATTCACGCTGCACGGTTTTGGAGCTTTTGCAAATGGACAATTTGTGTTTCACTTATACTATCCCAAACAATGCAACAATATGTAAAGTAAGAGTTAATTATTGACCTGTAAATGTCGATTAGGTTTTCTGTTTTAAGAAAAGCTTTAACCCTTCTTAGAACACTCAAATTACGAGTAACCTTCTGTCTTATACCTAGCATGTGGCTATCCCAAGTTAAATATTTCTTGATGTCTACACCAAGACATGTAACAGATTTGACTTTATCCAATTCGGTGTCTGACAAAGAAAGTGCAATATCCGTCTTCCAGGCTCGCTACTCTTTGTCTTGATCCTACAACCATAAAATCAGTTTTTAACACATTTAGCGTAAGCCTGTTGGCTGAAAGCTAAGAGGCTATACCCCTGAGATCCTTTGACATTTTATTCTGTAGGNCTGTAGAAATTCACTACAGGCGACTGCCATTAGCTGAATCGTTGGCGTGACCTGTTAGCTTGGGGATTGTTTCTTCTGCGCCGTGTTCACAGGATTTTCTCGCTTTCGAGCTGTCGCGAGCGAAAGAGGTTTTTCATGCCTCTCCAAGAATTTGAAGTTCAGTTCAAAACAAGGAAGAACCTCAGGCTCACTTTGGAAACGCTTTGTTTGTTTTTGCTCTTTAGAAGGTGACAATGGTTTTGAAAACATTTTAAATTCTCTTAGAAACCAAACTTTGTAACAATTTGACGATAGTTGTTGTGCTTAGTGACGTAGATGTGAAACAGTTTTGCTTAGCCTCGTTGTCAACTCGCAATTCCGCGCTGAACACCTCGCTTCGTTAACCAATCCGAATGCGAGATTTTACTCAATGATGCGATTCTATGGCTTATTACTAAGCATCGGAAAGCTGAGTCATTGAACTGCGTCAAAAAGTGCTTGGAGGTCATTATCAAACTGTCTTTATCATACAGCTTGCCTCCCACGGGAAATGCTACAAAATATCATGCAGTAATCATGATATCACCGATCGATTAAAACAGCACGTGTTTAGCTGGCGTGTGAGTTAAAAGTCTACTAGGGCGTGGGTTTCCATTCCTTCAAAATTTGTTGTCGTCCGGTTGAATTTCTATTGAATCCACGGAAAGATTAAAACTCTTTTTCATGATCAAAAAGACGGATGTGTTTGTAGTTTCTCTAAAATTTTTAGTTTTTTGTGTGATGTTTTGAAAGCTTATGAAAGCTATTCTTTAGAATCTTTGTTTTATTTCATTTTTCATTATGATTAATAATTTCTTATATTTCGTTTTTTGTAATTGATTTGATTAATTTATGTTGCTTACACGTGCTCGTATTTTAAACGGGTTATTGCTCCAGGAGGATGGGTGTTTAAGTAAAGAATCATAATCGCACCGTATTGAAATATTCAAGATAAACCGGATTGTGTTGCTCTGAACATGAACTCACAATATTAACGAGAGACCAGTATGTGAATGGCTGTTTTTCAATTCACACAATAGAGTAAGAATTATATTGACACCAGATTGCGAAATGGCGCAGAATTTTGATGAGTGAATCGTCGGCATACAAACATGAAGATGATTACGAACCAAATATTCTCTTGGTTCAAGGATGCGTTTGCAAACCTTTTATATTTTTTGTTCCTCTTATTCCTTATTATCCAATATTTCCATAATTATCTTTTATATATTTTTCATTTTGCAGTGATATTATAATTATTGTGCAAAGTTTGATGGTGAATAGACATTCTTAGCGCTGCCAACATCTTCCTAAAGTTGCGTGACGAATTGACAGTTTAGGCAAGGCGAAAACGGCTTTTTTTAACGAATTTTCAAACTTTTTAAATTTTCAGCCAGAAAAAAATCGCTGGAACTTAAAAATATTTTTTTCAAAACTAGTTCACAGAAAGGGATGTTTTGGCAAAATAAAAAAAAATTCCATTTTTCGTCGCTGATTTTCGATTCTCGAAATATTCTGGCGGCTTCTCTTAATCATTATAATATATTAGTAAGAAAAGAGAAAACACAGTAACTAGGAAACCCAATTAAAGTTAAAATAGCACGCTTGAGTCACGGAATCGAATACATAATATTGATTGGCGAGGAATAAAATTTATTTCATTTACAAGCTAGAATTACACCTGGAGGAGTTGGCTGAGAGTAGTAGGAGTAAGACGGGTTCTGGCGCATTTACGATGAAATTAACGTGAATTCTCGTTAATTTAGCACTTTTTGGTATCACTTTGTCGTTAAATTAGCGTGAAACCTCGCTAAACCCATTTTTCTTTAAGGTGTCATTTCTATCCCAAAAAGTTGCATTTCACGTTAATTTAGCGTGAAACCTCGCTAAACCCATTTTTCTTTAAGGTGTCATTTCTATCCCAAAAAGTTGCAGAAAATCATTTCACGTTAATTTAGCGATAATTCACGTTAACATATCATAATGTGCACTTAGGATTTGATTCTGAACCGCTCTCTGTAAATTAATGTAGTTTTTACGTTAATTTGTGTGTGGTTCAGTTTTGGTTTTGTTTGGTATTAACCCAATCACACTAAATTACCGCACGTTCACGATAATTTATTCAGACCGGTAATGCCCTATTGGATATGTGTTCACTCCATCTGGTAGAATGATTGTCTTGTCATCCTCTGCAGACAAAGCTACCTTGTTGATCTCCTCCATATACATCTCATGCTTTCGGCTGCGAAGCACATTCATCTTCCGAAACTGGGGTCCACCACCGAACAGGCAACACTTGTAATCATCGAAGTCTAATGTGCGTTTCACAACACCTTTCTTGATACCCTTGCATTTCTTTTCCTCTCTTCCATCTTCAATCCTGATTGCATACGACTTGGGCCTCAACCCGGCAAACTCCTTAATAATTTTCCCCCCACATTCATCCTTCATCATCCCAACCACTTTCTTGTTCACACCGATTGGTATCCCAGAAGGATGATCTTTTGGAAAGTTACTCGTGTCAAAATGTTGATGTACGTCAGAAGAAATATCTTCGTAGAAGTCATCTGTCTGAATCACATAACAAAGAGAATCTGTGTCTGTAAACAACAGCTTTGCTCTATCTCCATACTTAGGCTTCATGTAATTGTAGTGAAAGTCATACATGAGCTTCTTGCTGAGATCGAGAATGCACATCCCGAGATAGAGCGGTTTGTTGAAGTAAACTTGCGTTTTCTTCATATGAATCGCGCACAGATTCTCGGAGAAGATGGTGCAATGGTCAAAATTCACCTTATTTGCCAACCTCTTCGCCTTCTCTTCCGAGTTTACAAGCCTCACATCTACTCGTTTCCTAATGTTCTCCATCGTCTTTCCAAAGCATGAATTGTTCATTAATTTGAAGTAGTCTTTCTCGAAGTCGTTCTGAGCCTTAGCTCGCAAATCAGTGTTAAGATCGATATACTCTCGCATCCAAGGGCTCTCATCGAAACTAATAACCCGATGGATCTTCCCAATCTTCATTCCGAGAGATTTATAGAGTTTCAGAGTCTCGTGATGAACGATGTACTTCTTCTTCTCGTTTAACGTGCAGACAAGCTTCTTTACTTTTCCAATCATCAAGTTTTCAGGAGCAAGAGGGTAGTCATTGAAGTAATCGTGCAGCTCTTCAGCGATGGGAGGTAAATCAACCTCAACAAGGCAGGGGTATTCTTCCCACCGCTTGAAATCTTTCTTTTCTCTCTTTTTGAAGTTACCTGTCGGCAGCGGCATGCGCATCGCAGCACCATAAAGGTTGTTCATGTCCAGATATTCGATGAACTGCGATGGTTTGGCGGGGTCAAACTTCTCACCCATGTACTTGTTGTTAGCCATTGCATGTCTCAAACAGATCATCGAGATCTCTCCACGAATGCCTTTCTCAAACATGTGCAACATATCTGGATCGCTCAACAACTCAAGCTTCACCTTAGTCTTCTTGAGGCAAGCGTCCCAAGAAAGTCCAGGCGCTGTGAAATACCAACAGGGGTCTAATTCGTAATTCACCTTGCAAACCTTTCGAAAATTCTCAAACACATCGCACAACAGCAACACATCGCTTCGGTTGTATAGATCGTGATAATCTCGCATCGTTTTCATTCGAAAGGTTTTCCATACATTCTGAGCGTGAGCATAATCTTCATCCGTGATACCGCAACCACTTAACACGGAGAAGAAAGCTTCTTTCGGTGGAAGCTCAGTCTCATCAAGCTTCTCGATTGAATCCATCCATTCATAAGGATACACCCCCTTTCTCTTCACGAGTTCAAGCTTCTCTCCACGGAAATGGTTCCCCGTATTCTCAAAAGAGTCGCTGCTGAGGTTTCCCACAAGCCTGTCAAGAGAAGATGCCATGAATTTGAAACTATCAATGAATCGCAACTCTCTCTTGACAACAACGTCTTTTTCTTCCTCTTCATCGAAAAACTTGTCAACCACAACATCTTTCGAGAAGCTGATGTACTTCTCCTCGTTGTTGGGAATGCAATTAATCTCGCCTTCTGAAACACCTAAATTCTTGACGAAGAGATGCGCATCGTAGTTAGCCAAGTTGTGGAACACCACAGGTACGAGTTTTGGACGTTGGAATCTAAGATTGCAGCTGTTATGCGCAGCTCCGCGAAACCTCCCAGTGTAGTGACAATGATCGCGAACTTTCCCATCCTGAACTAACTCTTCTCCCACACCTTCCAGTACTTTCAGTTCTTCAACCATCTGGTCGAAATCTTCACCGCATATCCAGCAAGACGTCGCATTTTCAAAGATTTCAGCATCGCGCTTTGTGAATTTCATCTTTTGAAGAGGGAATTCATAGATACTCTTCACCTCTTTTTCCAAAAAGTTAACGAAGTTCTGAGCAATATCTTCATCTTCAGACTTGGCCGTGTATTCAAACAGTTTCGAAAATCTATCGTCGAAGTTACATTTCACAAAGTAGCAGAAACTCACAGGGATGTGCTGTTGCTTCTTCTCGGTGTAGCTCACATCAGGGTTGGGCTGACATGTATGAATAGGTTTGATAACCGATTCAAAGTCTGCGTATATAACAAACGGCATGTCCATCTTCTTGTGGTGATTGTTAAAAGAGAGATAAGTTCCCTCTTCCGGCATCTTCTCTCTCACAGCGTCATGATCCCGGCAAAGCTCGTCGTGAGTCTCAAGCAGCTTCTCAGACCCAAAATAATTCAGACATCTTCGGCATATGAACTTTTTACCTTTATTCTTTGACAAATCACTCGATACGAGTCGACTCAAAGACTTAATCAGGCAGTAATGCGTTTTCTCGCCTTTAGTAATGAGAAGAAGGTCGATATGAACCTTGATAGTCTTAGCTTTACTCACTCTCAAGGGATTAAACCCACCTTTACCGTAGGCGTAAACGTTGACGCCAAGACCCGGGTTCAACCTTTCAAATCGGGTAATATCTTTCACCTGCATCGGAAACTCAATCCCATCCCACACAAGATGATCCGCCCGCGCTCTCAAAATCCTTGTGACACGCTCTTGATCTCTTTCCACAGGATTCAAAGCTCTTGTCACACACCATTTGAAGCACTCCTCATCTTTATTCTGCATGTTGATGATTGCCTTCTTGTCTGCGAGATGTTTTGGAAGCGGAATATATGATGATCCTTTCAAAGGATTGTATTTCACCGTGTGTAAATCTAAACCGTCAACAGAGCTCACAACCCAACCGCTCCCGTTTCGCGTAAACGTAGCCAAACTTTCCAAAATCTTCTCCACACATTTTTGATAAACTTCTTCTCGGTCAGTCTCTTCAAAGATAATCTTTTGCGATGAGTGAAATATCGCATGCTGAAGCGTTGACTCACCAGTTGCGATATTTACCTTCTCCATGTAGCATCTCAGTACGAACTTCGCCTTGATATTTTTCTGCGTCAACAGAAACTTGATTATGACCGGTTTTACAGCTTTCAGAAAATTTAAGGGGGAATAACCCTCAACGCCATCAATAGTGTGCATTTTAGCGAAACCCCTCATAGAGGACACATCCTCGTAGAGTTTGAAACGGGGTTGTTTGTATAATTCGTTGATATGATCTTTGAAAGATTTCAAAGCGTCATCAGCAGCTCTGCTGCTCAGCGCGTTAGACCGGCCGGCTTGATCTTTCAGCCATTTCCCCCAGTCTTCAACCTTCTTCTTTGCAGCTTTAACAACCTTATTAATCTTTTCAAGCGTTTTCGGTGGTGGTGCAGGTGTCGGTTTTAATATATTCTGTCCTCTTGGTATTTCATGCGCCGGTATCGGTGCGTCTAGTAGGGAGCAACCTGACAGATTCAAGATGGACTCTATTTTTCGAGACCTCTTCGGTTTGGAAACCACTGCAGCAGCACTGCCGCTGAATCGTGGTAAGATGAATTCGGTTTTTCGATAGGCGGGACGGCGATTTTTATTTACCATCCGACTAAGTCGTGCGATTGTGATTCTTTCCATGATGATCTAATATATATTCAACATAATATTTATCTTTTTAAACCCATTTTTTTTCGACTTAAAAACAGATTTTCCAATTAGTAGTAGCAATGCTACTAATACTAATAGTACTAGTGTAGTAGTACTAATAGTAGTACTAGTAGTGCTACTGTGGTCTCGTCGGATTTCTCAATACTTTGAGTAGCCGCGAGCGTTTCCATTGTTTTGGATTGTTTTGGATTGTTTTCAATTGGTTTGATATTTTCATGACTCGTTCCAAGTCATGAAGACTTACGCTTTAGGCCTCAGGCCTCTTCTTCATTCTTTTTCACACTGTAAGCTTCGAAACGGAGAGCGAATTTCTCTCCATTAAGTTCAATAAAGTTTCTCGTACTTTCATTACGCGATTTCAGCTTCATTCCAAACCTTCCAGAGTTTACATTGAAATGTCTTGAGGCGGCTCTGATTGTGGGAAAAACAAGTTCATCTTCAGTTTTATCTGAATCTACAGGTGATAATATCACCCTTCTATTCACACCATTATACCTTGCACGGGGAGGCTGCACGTCTGGTGGGTTTCTCATCAATTCAATCAATTCTTTTTTCGTCTTCTTGCTATATCCACGTAATCCAAGCTCTTTCGCCTTTTTCAGGAGTTCATCTTTCGACAGAGTCTCGAGAGAGCCCGCCTCAGGTGGATTTCTGATGAGAGCGATTATCCCTTCTTTGTCAAGTAAGTAAGCTTGTTTCAACCCCATTTCTCTCGCCTTCCGCTTCAACGCGTTTATTGAAAGAGTTTCAAGTTCCGCCATTTTAATAACTTATTTTATTATCAAGCATTTTTTAAACCCATTTTTTTCATAACTTCTGAAGTTCGCTTTCATCAACCCACGAGTTGAATTTCTCTGGATAACCCACTCACTTCACGAGAGCTTTGCCTTTACTCTTTCGTATAACCTTATCAATGCGGAAGAGACCTGAAAGGTCTTGCTTAGCTTTTATGAGCTCTTGTTCATGAAAAGAGCCCTTCATGTCCTCTCCGAGAAGATCCTTCAGTTTGTAAGTGATCGGGTTGGAATACTGTATCGCGTTAATGACAAAGATCTCCTCAGTCCAATTCGGTGTGTACCCCTTATCAAACACTTTTCTCTTGTATTTGGAAATTCGCACCTGATCACCGACAGCAAACTTTGGTTTCTCTCGCTTTTCGCTCAACTCTTCACCGTACAGTTTCAAATAGACAGCATTCTCATTCTTCTTTTTGGAGGCCTCTACAGGAGTCATACCGATCGATCTATGTTTTGTATTGTTGTATTTTTCGAGAATCTTCGGGAGAATGCCGAGATACACCGTGTTGTTTTGAATTGTGAATTGCTTCCACATTCTCGTTTTGATCGTACGATTCCATCTCTCACACACAGACGATTTCTCTTCATTCTCTGTTGAGTGCAACTCAACACCTTCAGCTTTCAATAGATCTTTGACAAAAGAATTGTAGTACTCCCTACCTTTATCCGCCCACATTTTCTTTGGTTTTCTCCCTTCAAGAATATCTTTTTGAACCCCTCCGCAACGCTCTCACCCTTTTTATTTTTCAACGGGACAATCCAGCCATACTTACTGAAAATGTCTAACACCATCAGCAGATAACGATAGCCTTTGTTCCAGTTTGAAAACTTTTGCATCTCCACCAAGTCAGAACACCAAGTGTCATCGATGACGTTCACAATAACGCGCCGCTTTGTAAAGTTTCGTCTGATGGGTTTATGCAACTCATCAGCTTGTTCCTTTTGCCACCCCCTTTGGGGGTCGGGTTCGACTTTTTTTTACCTCCCAAACCCAAACCGAGCTTCTGTTTGATGTTGATGGCGTTTCTCGCAAGGTAATGCCCCCACTGCCTATCGGAATATGGGATCGCATCGAGCGCTTTCACCATTTTACGATCAGCCGCATTTTTACACTTCTTTGGATCAGAGGTGTTTGCACAAACGCTGTAATCCACGTCGTGTTGCATTGCAATAGCATCGCTCGAGCCTGTTGGCGGGTCATAGATCTCAAGAATCTGTCCCGTCTTTGGATCAAACCTCAACTGTTTATCAAGATCGTTGTAGGGTCCAGTATATTTATGCCGAGGGAGAGTCCAACCCGATTTGGGCTTGGGAAGTTTTCCGATAGCTTTATGAATATCGAAGGATCCTCCTTCGTAAAGAGGGTGGGTTGGATCATTCACCCCATCAGGAGCATACATCGACATTGGCAACACTTGATTTACATCATAAGCATTATACGCACTTCCTCCACTGATTTTTCTACTCGTATCGTTAACAAAAGAATCGAGAGCTTCATCTAAATACTTGTTTGCGGTCTGCTTCATCCTATTTTTCACATAATCCGATTTTACTGCTCTCGCAAGACCTTGCTGAGCCACATTCACAATCCCCTTCAATGCCATTTCCCCCAATGAAGTGCTGGTTCTCCCTACATCCTCAAAGAGCGCCCCGCCTTTTTTTTTCCTCCAGTAAAAGTCACCTTTGTTATGCCGCACTTAGCACACTTCGATTTTATCATCAGTCGACCATTTTTCGCAACCTCCTGCCTCTCACTCCCCGGTACAGACTGAGTCTGTTTTCTCTGTTTCACGCAGTAACTTTTCATCTCGAACAATATATATTATACAATTATATTTTTTCATCGAAATTTCGACAACATGTACTTTTTGTTTTGTCAACGAAAAGGAAATCATATGGTTTTAATTTTGTAAACGCGTCAACATCAAAGCAATTCTCATCTGCGATTAATTTACGGTGTCGCTGCGTTGGAGGCATATAGACGATCATATGGCTACAATTCAGCCTGATGTCAACAGGTGTTTTGTGATACGACTGGGATAGGTATACCGGGGAAATTTGGTGATGACGCCCATCAATAAAATGTTTAAGAATCTTATTTTGAGTCTCTTTCGGCGCTGTGATCAAGTCGTCGAAAATCACAACCTTACGATTGCCACTGGGATACTCGGTTGTATCAGGGATTTGAGAAGGATCCATCAGTTGCAAAATCTCATAACCTAATTTTTGTGAGTGACGATGCATGATCTTCGCAAGGTCCTGTATCAAATCTTGGTGAAAGTTTGGAGTATAGATGTATATTTGATCGTATACGACAAGCGGTTCTCTCAACATATAACAAAGCGTATTCGTCTTTCCGCTACCGCTAGGGCCCGCGATCAACATCCTGTACTCCTCATCGAGATAGTTAACGCCGGGCACTTTTCTTTTTCGAGTACTACTCTCCGAAGTTAATTTGGGTATGTTAACCATTCTGCTTTAGCCTCAACCTTTACAATAATGGCTGAAAATGTATGTTGGTTTTTGGGAATAATTGTCGAAAAGCGAGGATGGGCCTTATCTCAAAAATAAGCTTCAACGATGAAAAAAAGCGAGGATGGGACTTATCACAAAAATAAGCCTCGACGATGAAAAAAAGCGAGGGCCCCGCTTAATTTTCAAATAAGTCCCACCCTCGCTTTTTTTATTTTTTGGGAAAATTTTTTTCTTTGGAAGTAGTATAACACACGAGAATCACAAGTATCAAAAATGTCTCTCACATCTTGCAATAATGTTAACAAGTATAATGTTATTTTCGAGGAGGCGACTACCAACAAACATGGTCACCAACGCATCAACATACAGGCAAAACACGCCTGTGGAGAAAATGCGCCAGGACCGTTGCTGATATTATCCCCGCTCCGCTTCTCGTTTGGTGTTCAAGGGAGCCTGAATAAGACGGGCGATATCACCGGTTATTCGATCCCTGTATCCCTCTGGGATTCATACGAAGATCAGCCAACACAAAAAGAGTTTGACTTCTATGCAGCATTGAAAGCGCTAAAACATCTCTGCCGTGATCATCTTGAGGAAGTTTACGGGGAAGAACTTGCTGGAATGATGAAGTTTCCTATGGTTGAAAAAGAAGGGAAACCTCCGATACTCTACACGAAGCTTATGTACTCTGAAAAGACTCAGAGGATACACACTCTTTTCCACTCAAAAGAGAAATCAAAAGAGAATCCGCTCGATTACCTCGATCAATATATCAAAGTGAAGATGGCTATACTTGTCGATAGTATCTATATCAGCGATAATACCGTATCGGCACAGCTCAAATTACACGATGTGTTTGTGAGACCGCTGCCGCAGAGGATGGCGTTGGTCACCATTTCTGAGGATGAACTCGAAGAAGATGAAGATGAACTCGAAGATGAAGAGTAGGCTGGCGAACTTACGTTTACCCTGTTTTTACAAACATTTTTTTTATGAGGAACTCATAAAAAATGGCTAACACTGTTTTCAATTTCAATCACATAGACTACTCTCTCGGAGAGGAGAAGATCAAAGAGCTCAAGGCTCTATACAAACATTATCACAAGAAGTGGTGGTGCGCAAGGATGGTCTTCAAGAGCTTCAAACGCAAGAGTCTCCTCTGCAACCTGGGGAGTAGTTTGCTCATCGTTATCGGTGGAGTAGCAGGAGGGATAACCATGAACCCGATCCCGCTTGGTACGATATCGGGGGTCGGTCTCCTTCTCAAGACTTTCACAGATGTGAAGAAGTTTGATCGAAAGATAGATATGTCCAAGTTCTCGTATACGACATATGAGAAAATATTAACGGAACTGCGATCATACTTGAGGGGTAGACCGTTCGACAGCGCTTCGTTTCTCAATGAGGTGAAACTCATCGATGATACGATCACAGATCTATGCCCAATCTTGAGTAACAAAGTACTCAAGCCGTATGAAAAACGCTTCGGTGAAGCTTGAGGTTCCTAAATACTTTCCTCATTTGAAACGAATGAGGAAGCCGGCAGGCCTTAGGTCTATTTTTCTTCATAAATTTTTAGGACCAACTCGTAAAGGCTGTCTACAACATTTTCGATTTCTTTGGCAAGGGTTACCGATTTAATCTTGTAGTTCAACACGGAAAGCTTGTCTACGTGCTTTACGATTTCGTTGAAAAGGGTATCCGATTTAGTCTTTTTGTCACTAGCGTTTTGCATTTTGATAGTTTTTTATTACTACCAAAATAAAATCTTTAATCATTTTTTTACAGTCTCGGCCTTCTCACGGCGTTGGAGATTCGGAACGTTCCTGACCCCTGTCGAAGCGGATTCGAAAAGACGATCTGCTCTTTCAGATAAGTCCATGTGTGGGGTTTGAGATAATTACCCATATATGCCTTAACCCCAAGTTCGTTGAACTTGATGAAAGGCACCCATAATTTGAACTTGGTCACGATGTAGCGTCCCGCGGCGGCGGCATTCGATCTGAATAAGACGTTATCATCGCTTTCAAGCCTAACATCAAATGAAACTCTTCCGTTGGGGGCTAATTGTTCCTCCATAGAGTGGAAAAAGCCGAATCGGTTAAGCGGTAGGTGGATGTTATTTTCCGCACCTGCGGCGAGAAGAGTCTTTCGTTTGGCAAAGCCTTCGTTATAAGCTGCGTTGTCTGTGGGTGCGATGTTTTGCGCGTCTCCAGTAAGTTGGAGGGTTGTATACTTCTGGATCACAGCTCCCGTGGCAGTGTCCTTATAAAAAAATTGCCGGGGGCCCACCTTCCTCGCGTGTTCATCGGTCATTTCTGTGAGATTTTTCACATTCACCGCATGATTTGCGTTTGGGAGATCGAGCACTCGTGTGCTGTCAAAAGAGATTTTGATGTCTTCGATTAGACTGAAACCTCCGTTGATAATAGCAGCTGCATCAGCGGCTCCGTACGTGGTATTGTCCATCTTTGTGAGCTTCACGTCCATCTCAAAATAGGCATTATACCAGTCGGGCACTGTTTCAGAGGCTGTAGAAGTGTCTACGGTAAATTTGTAGGAATCCTTCTGCTGATAAGTGTTGTTGGCTGGCGCTGATTGCAGCGGAGTATCGAGTTCATAGCTGCGAAATTCGTAGCCTTTGGCAAATTTAGGTGTGCGCATTGAGGACATGTTGATTGATTATGTTAGAGTGACAAGATTTTTTTATTACAAAAAAAGTTCAGCGAAGTCTGAAAACACACCTGAGGGTTCTTTTTTATTTTTTGTTTTTGTACTAGTACTTTTAGTACTAGTACTACGTACTGAGGGTGAAGACGGTGTTTTGCGTGCCGACTCTTTTTGGAGTAGCTTTACAAGCTGATCTCCTTTGTCTTTCTTTACTTCACCTTGTAGCAATTCGAGCGCTTCGCGTGACGGTGTGACTTCGGGCGCCACGCGTGGCGGTTCGCGTGGTGTGACTTGCGGCGTGACTTCAGCGCTTCGTGTTGTGAATTTATCGTAGATTTTCTCACCGAGTAATTGTCCCGTCTTCTCCCCGATTTGCTCAGCACCCTTCTCAAGCGCTTTCGTAGCAGCTTTTGTTGCAAGCTCCTTCGCGGCTTTACCTGTAACCTTCGCAGCTACACTTTTTAGTGCGTCGAAAATTCCTTCACCTTCTTGAAGTGAGTAATCTTCATCAATATTTTGTATTATGATTTTGCCATTGGCATCTCTTCCCATACGCTTTCGACCCATAACACGTTCTTTATTTCAAGTGCATGAAATAAATTATTTATTCTTTTGAAAAACGTTTACTTGAAGAGAAGTGTTAGTGAGACGCCTGTGCCGTTGAGATTGAGCGGTCTACCCAGCGAATCTGTTATGTAGATTCGCAAATCTCTAATGGCTCCTGTGTTTATTTTGTTAAATTTCTTAAGCCTCGGCTCTAGGTGGAAGGGGTAGGAGAGAGGTAAATTATCTACGCTGAAACGAAAGAGAACATCTGATTGTTTACCGCCGACAACGCTCTCTGAGAGTATATTCGTTCGAATATAAATGTCATCAACAGATCTCGTTATGTCTGGTATTTTGTCGCTATAGCTAGTGGTTGTCACAATCTTTTTGGCAAAACCGATGAGATCGCCAAAGTCTCCGGTTTGTAGGTCGACCTGGTATCCGTCTTCGAGACCGATCAGACATTTGAAAAGGGCTGGGACAAATTTGAGTTCGATACCGGTTTTCGAATGTTTTGCTCCCTCGAGTTCTCTCTGGATATAAGCGTTTAGTTGAGAGTATGAGAAATTTCCATCTGGTAATTCGATCTCTGTCCAAGTATTACCTGAATCCTGACTATATTTTAGTTTGTTGTTTGAATAGCTTTTTGACACATTGTACCAGCTGTAACTCATTGCAATTTCATCGAGAGCAACAAAGTACTCTCTATGTTTGGGTCAAACCTCATCACAGGATTAAATGTTACTGTGAAATCATGGCTCACCCCACGCGAACAATTCAAAGAGCTTATGGCAATCAATGTTGGGTCTCTATGAAGCGATACTTCTTGTTTCATCATTTTCAACATTTCCTTATTCAAATCGACTAATTCTGAAAGCTTATCCATTACGATAGATGTTTTTGTATATACGCTGAATAAAATTCTTTCGAAATTTCATTCTTTTTGACGAGGTGATCGAGAATCTCCATTACCTCGTTACGCGGTTGAATAGATGTGTTGCCCGCGTCTATAGTGCCTGTCAATTTAATTAATCTGTCTTTCAGATCATTGAAATCCGTAAATATAACCCCTCCAGTCATTTTCGCTTTCCCAGATGTTTTATGCATCGGAAGGTTTGCGAGTTTGGTGAGATCTTTGAATATATCCATCGATTTTTGTGAGTAATTAATTTTGGGATTAAATCTCTTTGTCAACAGATCTATGAGGGATCTGTCACCTCGTTTCTCATGTACAACAGAACCGGTTGAAGGACTGGTCGCCTCTACTATCATTTCGTTTATTAAGCGAGTGGGGTTGATCAAGAGACCACCGAATTGTCCGTTGTTTTCAATCTTGTAAGCGTTTCGCTTCTTTTGCGTGTATTTACGCTTTGAGTGCCCCTTGCCCTCTTGCGTGACAAGAATCTTTTCACCACCCGAGAGTAAATTAATGCGGTCGGCATATTTTTTCAGCGTGTCGATCTGTCGCACGATATTATCGATTTTGTCTCTGTTTTTCTCCTTATTCTTCGAGAGACCGGCCTTCACATGGTTTGCTCTCTTGATTTTATCAATCAAATCTATCTGTAGTCTATCATGATCAAAATCCTTCGCGAGTATTCGTTTGTATGCATCATTCGGCGGTGGAAAGCCGCTCTTTTGAATATATTCAAGTTCGTCTTCAGTAAAGCCGATATTTGGGTCAGGAACTTTTGTTTTCGGTTTAGATGGTGCTTCAAGAGCTGTGGGAGAATCTGGGGGTGAATCGGCTGCTATAGAGCTGTCTAGCTCTTTGAGAAAAGATAGATCTTGTGTGATAGCCTTTTGATTTTCATCCAATTTCTGAATGAGTTTGTTTTGTTGCTCGTCTATTGTTTGTTTGACCTGTTTAACAAGAGCAAGTTCAAGACCTGTTTAACAAGAGCAAGACCTTGTTTAGCATCGTTATATGCCTGCACAGTCTGTCTGATTTCCTCCCTTTTTCGAGCGTTTTCGAGTTTGAGATCTAAGTTTCTTGAAAAGGCAGCGATATCCATTTGTTAGTAGTCAAGATAATATTTTTTGTAAAACGTGATGTGAATAAATTAGCTGAAGCTAGATGCGCGCGCACCCTCCCCACTGGTAGTGTAGAAAAAATCTCCCACAAGGGATTTCATATGGATGGTGGTGCGTGTATGTGTATATCATGGTTAGAAAATATGGGGAGGCTTTCCATGCTATGCCCATACATTGCATCACCCCCTATGAATTGGTGAAAAAACCCTCCCCGCCGCCAACTCATGGGGTTCGGCGAAGTGAAGACGAGACAAAGTCTAATTGTGTTCGAAGATGGTGTTACAATCACTCACCCCCGTAATTTGGGCCAGAAGTGCCGTTTATGTGACAAGTCACATGGTAGAAACTCGCCCCGAGGGTAGAGCCGCGATGTGATAACCTAGAACAAAGGCGAAACAAGCCACAATCCGAAATACAAGGCGAAACAAGCCAAGGCAAAACAAGTCACAATCCGAAATACAAATCAAAACAAAACAACAAAACAACAAAACCTCTCATGAGGAACACAACACAGAAAGAAACAAGATCAAGTTCCTCATGAGAGGTCTGGTGAAGAGAAATGGGTTTAGCGCGGTTTTACGCTAATTTAACGACAAAGTGATACCAAAAAGTGCTAAATTAACGTGAATTCTCGTTAATTTCATCGTAAATGCGCCAGAACCCGTCTTACTCCTACTACTGCTGAGCCCTTACCAGAACTGTTTCAAGGCTTCGACGTTCAGTCAACGAATATCGATTCGATGAGGTAAGGGCATTCCATATGAACGGATGACTATACATTTATTTCAAAATGAATGTTAGAACCCGTAATTTGCCATCCAGAAAACACGAGTGAGGACAATATTAAGGCTGTGAATATATTACTCATTTTTAAAATATAGTTTTAAAATGTTTCACTTCTGAGAACAATTATCACAAGTATGCATTACATCTTCAAGTCTGTTAGAGATATAAAACTGCCTGAAAATCGATCCGTAGATGTCAGCAGGATCGATCGAAGTTGAGACTTTACGCGACGTGTGGCGGCTCAGTTACGCTAATGGGCTTTTGACAGGATAGTTTAATTTATGGATAAGTTTAAATAAGACCAGTTTCCTCTTTAGTTCAACCGACGGATAGAAGATGAATCAAACAGGAAAGGGTCCAAGTCGGTTGCGTTTCCAAATGTTACTGGCTTTGCTAGTTCACTTCGTTGAGGGTAAGAGAAAAATCCTAATAATATTTTGCCATGCTTTTCTCGTTAAATTGAAGACGTAGAGAGTCTAGGGTTATTAAAAATTCAACACTGAAACGCAGTTAAGAAACATACTTTTCGTGAAACGAACGCGAAATTTTCGACCAAGTGTAAATACAGCAAAAGGAAATTTTCTTTATCGTAAATAATTTCGTATCGCTGGATCCATTTTCCTTAAATCTTTTTTCGCTTTTCCTGCTATAAAGAGGAAGTCTTCGTGACTGGTTAATGATTTTGATTGCAACATATGATTGTAATATTTGATCCTCTAGTGAACTATTTGTTTTGACACGGTTGGTCGTTTAAAGCTAGTATTTGTCATTCAGGAAATAGCAACTGCCTTTAAACTTGATCTGTTTAAATCTAAAATCATTATCGTCGGCAAGGATCGTACTACTAAAGCTCTCTTCGAAGCTTCATAAGTTTT